TTCTCATGGCTTGAGCAATATTTCCCTCGGAGTGTTCAAAAGTACCCAAGGCGTGATAAGAATGTGCAAAGGTAGGATCCAGCTGAATTGCTTTTTGGTAGGCCCTTTTGATTCTCATTTTCGAGTCCTTTGAGCCGCCGTGATTGTTGTGATCCAACAATTGTGCTAGACCATGCCACAACCAAGGATTTTCTGGTTGCTTTTGAAGCCCCGTTTGCAGTACTGATCGGGCCTTGATTGTTTTGCCTTGTTTGTTACTGATCGTCAATACAATCCTTGAATGTATGTCCCATGGGATTGGGATCCGCCAAGATTCACATATCCTGCAATTGTTCAACGTCGTCTCAACAATTGAAGTTCTATAGAAATTTGTCTGCCAACGAGGCCGCTCAAACCTTCTCCCCCACCAACGCCACGCTCTCCAATGGGCAAAAACCCAAGACAATTTTGTCATTGCTCTCACTGACAAAAATCTGGGCTTTTGCATCATTGAAAAACGTGAATATATCCATCGAGTTTGTACTCTGGTCTCAGATGTCAACTCCTACACTCGCCTCTCTCATGAGGAAGCCATACTTACTGCCGCCGCAGTTCAAGTTGAAATTTTAGAATGGATTGCCGATAATCGAGTTTATCTTGCCTTGGACGAGATTAAGCTCATTAAAAGGCACATAAATCAAGTCAAAGACCCCTTTGCAGTCTTTTACCCTCTATTTAAAATCCACAAAACGCCAGTTGCCACACGCCCTGTTGTCTCCTATTCCAGCAGTCTTCTCTATGCACTTGCCCTTTGGTGTGACAACAAATTACTCCCTATGGCTAAATCACAAAATGCATACCTCTCCAGTTCCTTTGAACTTCAAGCACAACTGTCCTCGCTTCAGTTACCACCCAATGCTAAACTGTTCACTGCAGACACACGTGTGATGTACACCAACATCCCCACTAGAGAGTGTCTAGACAGTATCCGCGAATACTTACAAGAACACTATGACAACTTTACACACGTTGATCATGAAAGTCTGCTCTCTGCTCTATCCATTGTTATGAATAACAATCTCTTTTGCTTTGGCGACATGTACTGGCTCCAAAATAACAGAGCCGCTATGGGCGCTCCACCCTGCCCATCTTGGGCTATGATGTACTTTGCTCCACATTGTCTACTATAAACGATACATTGATGATGTCTTTGGAATTTGGCTCCAACAACCTGGCGATGACCAGGCCTAGAACCTCTTCAAAGCACACCTGAACACTTCTGCCCTCGTGTGGGACTTACTGAACGCTCCCGTTTGGCTGTGTTTTTGGATCTTCACATTTCCATCACAAACACCAATGAGATACACACCGATCTCTATGAGAAGCCACTGAACCTTCATGCCTACATCCCTCCTCATTCTGCACATCCCCCTGGAGTCCTTCAAAGTATGATCAAAGGCATGATCTACAGATTTAAACCCTTGAGTCCGACCAAAAGAAAAACATTCTCCAGTTTTATTGTCACCTGGTTCAACGTGGCTACAAACCTGATGGACTAACACCCATCTTCAATGAGGCTGTAGCTCAAGTCTATTGCTCTTCAACTACACCTCCTCCACCAGGAGCTTTACAACCACCTGCTCCTTCTTGACACCTATATTCTTCCACCTTCAATACCATCCGAGCGACCCGCCATCTCACGACATCCAACGTATTTGGCGACGCACTCTTTTCCGCCCCGCTGGATCTCGGCTCACACAGGAGAGGCAAGATTGGCATCAACCGTATGATCGTATGCTACAGTTGCGCACCTAATCTCGAGAATCTTGTCTCGAGTAAACGAAACTTGGAATTTGTAGACAGCCCAACAGTGTCATCATTCTTTGATGATTAGATCACCTGCGGGCCTTTTTTTTCTCCACTCTCTGTTTGTTTCCCTACATTTCTCTTCCACGATTGGGAGAGTTTTTCCTCTCTTGTTCTATATGGGCCGCCCCAAATGACTGTTGCAGCACGTGGCAATTAGCCCAATGGTACTTGTCTACGTTATCCTCACCACACCCACTAGTTTTCTTTAAAATCCTGGTTTGGTGAAACTAGTTACCTCATAAAGTTACTAGTTGGATACGCCTTCCTTACTTCTAGCTCTCTTCTAGTAGTATAGACGACTGTCACCAGTAAAGCACAGACACCTTCGGGGTCTTGCTCGCTCATCTGCAGTACACTCTGCCATCGTTGGGTGTGACAGTCAACAAGGTTTGCAAAAGTTGAATGGAAGTTTCTTGATCTCCAGCCTGATCCACGTGTTTGGATACCATGTATATTTCTTTGGCTCGGACATTGGAAGAATATTGGGAAGAAGGAGTTTCCAAAGTCTTTTTCAGATTTTGCAAGTACTCCTTGGACGAGGATAACGACAAGTCTGCGTGCCTGTTCCGCAACCGTTGCTGTTGTTCCTCTTGCTGTTTCTTACTCGCTGGCGGAATAGATCCTTGTCGCTTTAGTCTATGAATTTCCCTTCGTTTTTTGCGCAAGGACTCCAAGTCCACAGTTCGAGACCATTCCTCCAACGAGTTGGGCGACTTGGCAGAAGCTTCCATCTCGTTACTTCGAATACTATATTCGTCTTCGTCCAAGAGCATTTCATCATCATCGTCGTCTTCGTCATCAAACCATTCCGCAACAAAGTCTTTTGGTGGCTGCTGCTTTCGTTGTTTTTGTTTTTGTTGTTGTGCAGCACTCCAATCCAATAGACGATCCTGCAGGTCTGCCTTGTTCCCCATCTACAACAGAGAGAAAGAGAGAATAAATACATTCATTTCAGTGTGAGTATAATATGTATTCGATCAATCAAGCAATTTTAATCAATCAACAATGCAATACGGTATCACCTCCACCATCCTACATTTTGCATTCTACATACCTTGAGTAGACCTCGTTTGGCACATGCTTCTTTGAGTTCTGGCACCTTGGACGCCAAGATTTGCCCCTTGGGAAGAATCTTGAGTCCATTGTCCTCTTGCCGTATTGTTGTTCTTGTTGTTGTTGTTGTCGTCGTGGTTGTAGTAGCATTGTTATTATTATCCTTAATGTTACCATGGGCCAAACGAGCATTCATGGCTTGAAACCCAATGTCTCCCGCATCCACATTGTTCCAGGTTTCCAAATTGACATTGGAACGCCCCACTGCGGAGACTGGAATACATCAAATCCCAAGACGCAATAGTTTTTTTCGGGAATGGACGGTTTTGAGTCAAGTAGTGTATCATCCACTGGCCGACTGGTGACATCAGCATCGCTTTTGTCAAACCACCCTCTCTGAAAGGAACACCTTCCACGGACGGGGATACCAATAGACTTCCAACGGTGCGCTCCCAATCCTTCAAGTGCCACCGATTCACCTTTGCTTCCAGCACATTCACATTTGCCCACTCTTGGTGGCGTTTGATACGCTGGAATCCTCTTGTGTTATTGTCACACATATCAATCAGCCACTGGACGTATCTGGACGAGGTCTCCGCATCCTGGGCACTACAGAGCAACCATTTCATTGTAATCTGGCACCATAATGAGGACAAAGGACCGCCAGGAGAATTATGTGGGCGCTCTTTTGTTAAGAACATACTGGATGGCATATCTTCCAGATTCGACACCACTTCTTCATCACCTGAATCAACAATCAACACTGTTCTGCGCTGGCTGGTGCATGGGGTTATCGGTAATTTGATTCGATGTCTGTCGTTTCTGCTGAGAAGATCACTGCAGCAGGCGCTTATTGCTGTTGGTCTAGATTGCGGGTATGTTGTCAAACCGATGAATGTTTGACATCTCGCCTTTTACCATGACCCATTGGACCCAGCAGAGATACCCAGAAGAGATGTGAAAGAAAATTGGACTGAGGACAGAACACTAGTAGCGGCTTCTGTCACGACAATGAGCAGGGATGTGCTGGAGCGGCAATCATACCGCTGTTCGAGTTTTGTTGCTCCTAGAATGAATGACTTCATAGCCGAAGGACTCTATATTATAATGTAGCATATTAATTGATTGTAAACCGTTTACTATGAACGCAACTAGCAGTTTTTAATGATCCATGTCCGCCCTTCCTATAGAAGCAACCTGGAGGACGATAACCAAAATATCCATTTCCCCCCTTCTAGCCGGCGTATTCTCTCCTAGAAGTATCGGGTCGACAGCCGTCTTGGTGTATTTTGGAATGATCCTACATGTCAACCAATGGAGGGCCTTGTGCACTACTTCACGCCCAAACAACGAAAAAGAGAAAAACATCAAAGTCATCATGATTTCTATCAAACTATTTTAGGTCTTTCCAAGATATGCCTGGGCATTGTTACTTCATCTCATTCACCATACTGGAAGGATAATTTTCTTCGCTGTCTCATTGCCGGGGCAGGGCGTTGAAGGATGTGCCATGTAAACCCTTGCCAGAATCATCGCCTATTTTGGGAAGAACTTCTTCTTCCTCTTGATGTAGCTTGAAAAGGAGTCGAAGAGGATGTGCCCCAAGGTCCTGTCACTGTGCACAATAGCTGGTATCGATTGAGGCATCGTGATTCTTCCAGAGGTTGTACGTCCCTGAGCTGGCTGGGTGCCTCCCGTGTATGGCTCCTCTCATCAGCGTTCTTGGAGTGAAATACACTGCATTATTTAATTGGTATAAGTTTACGGTACCAATTCCAGAAAGTTTTACAGCGAGCCGCTTTTCTACGAGGTGCGCCATAATAAACGTACACAAAACCGTACATTCCCACGGGCGCATGGTACTTTTGGATCTTGGAAGATTCGCTCCCGGGAAGGTTTCTGGTGAGGGTATAAGTTGTAACAGTTGAGAATTGTATGCGTTATAACTATTATGGACTATCTGTCCGTCTGTGCCATTGAATTGTGTGACAAAAACAAAAACAATACTGTCAATGATGTTCTTTGCAATAATAACAGTACTGTATGTTTGTAGCACCAATTTGTTTGGCAATTCACAACTGCTAGGCAGCGATTCTATCCAAAACGGCGCTTGTCTGTGCCCTGCCTGCCCATAGGAATTCTATAATAATAATAATAATAATAACTGAGACATTAATCATTAGTAGGATGCTACTCTAGGGGCATTTGATTGCCGGTGAAATATTTGGCTGTAAAGGTCAAGTACTGTGGAGCGGTGAGTCAACAACAAGTTTGAACCATGTGAGGCATCTGTACATAGGCAGAAGTTGCCTAAGTCATGACTTCTCCCGCAGCAAGGCGGGGTGAATTCGGGGCACTTGTTGTCCCACAAACTTTGGGGAGCGTTCAGGAGGTGAAGCAGAAAACATAGTCCGTAGGCTACTGCATTGAGCCCGCAGAGAGCGACAATAGTCCTTGCGCTCGTGTCAAAGTAGCTTCAGCCACTCTTCCTTGTCCACCAGTGATTTACAAAGGACGCTGTGACAGCATGTCAGCATGCGTCAGATTTCCTGAGGTAAATCAGCTGAACCCATATCAAACTGAGAGTGAATCCCCTCATTGACAACACAGTGACGGTCACAGAGCTGAACATTGTCATCCGAATGTTGAACGGTGTTCTGTTGTTCCCACATATAGAACCCAAGTGAGATGAGTTGCTGGGAGAGACGGGAAGCCCACAGAGAAACTGACTGACGACTGCAAATCTTGTCAAAATAACTTTGTTGTAGTGACAGTCACAATGATGCTAGCCTTCCTTCCAAAAGTCCTTGACACCCAATAGCTTCCTGGGCCAGAAAGGCGGGGCGAATGGTCTGAGAGATCCAACGAGAGGTGTGTCGTGATGGATCGCGGACACCCAGAAGAAGATGGAGTATGGTATGTTTAATGGCAGGCAAGGTGAGATGCATACCCATTAGAGCGAGAGAGCTGTCACCCTCCGGTCCCATTTGTCCTTGGCCGACGCTGCCAGACATTGTGGAACATGCAAGTGATCTTCAAACTGGCCGCACCGAGGACATGCAGCAGATGATTTGAGGCCCCAATACACTTTGAACTTGCCCCTGCCACGCATGCCCACCCAATGTTTTGTAATCCAGTGCTGGAGTCCGGCAGGGAGGGACCGCATAGCGTGACCCAGGGTCTCCCAATCAATGAGGTTTTCAGCTTCTTCAGAAATCACTCTATGGTCCTTCCATTGTTGCCAAAGGTGTGGAAGTGTCACGCATTCCTGAATGAATTTATCACTCAGCCGGGACTGCTTTGTGTCAGCCACAAAAAGAGCCGCCAGTTCAGTGAAGAACCAAGGATTGCGAGGGATGAGTTAGTGGGCTGCCTCAAGTTCCTTGCGGAAATCCACTGCCATGCCGTCTACCTCCAGGTTTTTCTTTTCCCACCAAGTGACTTCATCAAATAAGTTGGACTTGTCCAAATGTCCGTAAACATGTCACGGGGACCAAGACACTGGATGTGTACGCCCAGGCAGTTTGAGGCCAGTGATAAGGGGTCCAAGAAGTGTCATCGCAAAAACCGTTCCAGATGCATCGGCGGACATAGCAACCATTGGCACTGGTGATATCTGACACAGTAGTCACTTGAAGGAACATCCGGCACCAGTTAAGCCAGAGAAGTTTGTCCTGATCAACCTCCAGATCAATGAACAAGTCAATCAGAAGGGCGTCATGGTGGCATCGCAAGGACAAGGCCAGAGAGTCAAAGGCCACATACATATCCAGTGACTCGAGCTCCTTTCATACTTGTTTCAGCCAGGTATCAGAGGCCAGAATGGTTGTGTTCTGGTAAGCTTGCTGCAGAAGACCAAAGGAGGTACCAGTTGCTACACAATCTTCTTGGGTGTTGGAATCTTCTTTTTAGGAGTGTTTTGGATTGTTTTCAGTTGTTGAGTGTCAGACTAGGCAGCGTCTCCCTTTACTAGCTGCTATGGAATTCCATGTCTAGACTGTGATTTGCTGTCAATCAGATATTGCTTTCATACATATTGAATCGAGTCTGCCCATTGGCGGTTAGACTCCTCATTGTATCCTGCAAATTGTCTGTGTTGCTGTGGATGAACAGGAAGATGGTGAAGAAGGGCCAAGCTGACGGTATTGGGGGACGTGCCAGAGACAATCGCGCAACAGACGAACAACGCGGAGCATGCATTGCCTCTTCCCACAAAAGAACAAGGATCCAAACACAAATATGGTGCAATGAAAAGTAAAAAGTAACAATGCATGTCTCCATTCTAACCTTGAGGCAACCTTTATTACTACCTACATTCTCCTAGTCACATGCTGTTTTCTAGGTTACTGCAAGGGTGTTTTACCTTCAATCTCCTGACAAGCTGATGCCTCTACTTTCTCCAGCAGAAATTTGTGGAAGAATCCAATTTGTTCCAATCGTGCTTCCTTTTCCAATGGGAGTTGCCTTCCATCCTTGATCTATCTTTTCATGAAATGAAACAAGTCCCTCACCTGTTTCTTTTCCAATTAGGTCATCTTTGTTCCGTCCCCAACAAAAAGCCAAACTATCTCTTTGGTACTTTTCTTTGATGCTGCAATGTAAACAGGCCTTCCACTGAGGGCCTTTTCAGTTTCCCTCACATCTTGTAGCATATCTACCAAAGGATAATTTGGGGCTACCAATTCTTACAACTTGCCGCTAGACCTTTCCTTAAAAGCCAGCAGTATGTGTAATCCTTTGGACGTCAGAATCGTTCTTGGTGAAAAATCCAGCATCACAACAAAGTATGGACCATTTGGGATAGGTTTTCCACTTACATACGTCTCAATCATCTTTTGTCTCTCAGCTGCAAATACCCTGGACCAATGGTTGGACACCCAAGTGACCGACCTAGCCATCAAACATGCCATCCTCCTCCTTATTCAAGGTGTCCGTGATCCGTCCCTTCCTTCCCTACAGGATGTCCCCGGCCGCCTCTGTAGGGCCTTCCGCTCTCAACAATGCATTGGCTATCAAGGACTCTTGGAAGGACTGCTGTCTTGTCAATGGGCCCCCTTGCAGGAAGAATACCTACAGTTGCGTGGGAGGCAGCTCTCCCACTCTGTGGGTTTCTTGTCTCTTGCACCAGCTGATCTTGATGGGGTTCCGGATGTGAGAACATCGGAACCTAGTGCAACATTTGGAGGATAATGTGCACCTAGTACGTGAGCATAGCCGGCAGGTCAATGACAGGATTCATTCTCAGTTTGATATGGGCCCAACCAACCTTCCAAAGATTGTCCAGCGCATGCTCTCAGTCAAGAGGAGTGGTTAAAGCTGCTGAAAATGGAACACACGGCCTATCGCCGCGCTCTGGTGCCTCAAGGCCGCATTCTCCATCGCTTTTTCCATGATCCTAAGGACCAAGTCCCCTAACCCCTGTTTTGTGGAAGAGTCCGGACCCACTGGTTCTGACTAGAGCAACTTCTGTTTGCCAGATGCCTCTCATGGTTCAAACTTGTTGTTAACTTGCCGCTTCCTCCCAGTACCTGACCTTTCCACCAGCAATCCTATGGTGCGCTAGATAGCATTTCATTGATTAACATTTCAGTAATTATTATTATTTTCTCAGCTGCAAATGATACTCCTCTTGCTCTTCCGCTCCTGTCCGCTCCTTTGCTACTTCCTACCTAAGCTGGGACTGTGAAAAACCACCCCCGGTGTCGTTCATCTTCTTGAACCTCTGCTGACTCTCTCTGCATACCCAATCCCCATATAAGCACCTGGTGGCCCAAAAGCTCCCACTGCCTGCTGGTGGGGAGAAAAGGATCTACATCCATTGCGCTGACCTACAACAGATCACGAGTCACGCATCTGTGTTCGATACAGTAAATGAAAGCGGAATCACCCAATGACAAGATTTTCACCTGTTTTTTTAATATATATCTATAATTTTTCTTCTTTGCCCATGACACGCATTTGCCACAACTAAATTTCCATGCCTACAGTAAATCATACCATGTACAGTATCCCTACATATAGTACCACCAAATCTGATGGGTGTACTATACTACTACTACTTACGATACTCTACGGTACCATACCCCCGAACAAGCTCTATACCGATTTCCCCTCCCCTGGAGAGCTGGTTATTGTCTTTGGGATGAAACATCAAACGATATCCAGTGACTTCTACCCACGATAAAGTATGTTTATGCAGTGAGGGGACGTACAGACGTTACCGTTTTTGGGGGTATACGTTTCCGCCGGTCACTGCACTACAGTATCCTCCCCTGTTTGACTGACTCGACTCTTTCACAATGTTTCGCGCATTGGATTGCGTGCGTGGATCTGTCTCGAAACGACCCTTCTCTTCCACCACATTTTATTATACTCTTCCCAATGATGTCACTGACAACATTAGGGAGCCAACTCTCAGGTCTGAACTTGCCAAGGAAGGATTTGGGGTCAACCTTGTCTCGTTCGCGCCAGCATGAAGATTCCATCGGCCGCGGGCTATCTCACTCAGTGCAGCTTGGACATTCTAACACAATAAAAAGCAAGATCTCCAGACCATCCATCATGAATGAGGACGCTGGTAGAGCTGCCGATGTTCCTTTGGTGACATTGCAGGCAAACTGTATGGCATCTTTGCGTCATCTTGAATTGAGGGATAGCCGATTTGGCAATTATGTTGAGTTACTCAGCATGGATACCAACCGCAAAGAACAAGCCCTTATGACTCAATCTGAAAATGATGAACTCTATCAGACATTGGATGGGTTGCTGCATCGACTTATTCTACGTATCAGCGATAACAGCAAAACCTCAAAAACTGCGAAAACATCAGTCTTCCATGTGATTGAGTATTTGCTTTGTCGCTATGACATCCACCTTCAGCCGTTGCTAGCAGAAACAGTTCTTCGCTTGACGATCCCCTTTCACGAAGACCCAATTTTCCTTAGAATGATCCAACTTGTGGACTTGAGCATTCTCCCTACTTGGTCATTTCTCCGTCCATATGCAGCCCCTGGAGCCACCGTTGCAAGAGAAATCATATCAAAACAGGCTTCAATTGACGTTTCGCTACTTTCGAGTTTGTGTCTTCTCGCTCAACGCAGTGCAGGTCTACCATGCAATGCGCATCATCTTTCTTTTACTGCAACTGTAATATCAGAATGTGCTGCCTTTCAGGTGACACGTCTCGGCGGTTTGACTGAAAGAACGTGTCATACATTGCTTCAACAAACTCTTGGAGCTTGTCGCCAATCAAAAAATGTTGCCTTACAAAATTGGGGACACGTGATGGCATCAACAATTGTAGAGACAGCTTCTTTAGCGGACGAATCACTGAACATACTAGTGACTAGCATATTGAAGGGCATTGCTGACAGTAACAAGTCCACACAACTGAATGGCCTCCTTGTTGCCTTCAGCTCAATCTCGAAGAGATGGAAGCACTTTGCGCAGCCTCTGCAAGAGATGCAATTTTTCCTGGGTGATGAAAATGGTATGAAGATTAGCATCTTCGAAGAGTTCTTGGCCGTCAAAAATCTTGCTGCACAGTTGGGTCATCTTTTCTGCGAAGGCAGTATTGACCAAGTCTCACGTTGGATTGCGTGCATGTTGGTCGTAGGAGCTAGACTTCTTCAGGAAAATGCGACGACTAAAGTGGAAAAAGTGCGAAAATTGATCTTGGATTTAATCAACGAGCCAAATCTCCGTATCCTCTGGGAAACTGCATCGAATAGGTATCTAGAGTCGTTCGCTGCTGTATTTGTGGAAATCCTTGCACGGAAATCCGAAGATGCATTGCAGGCAGACAACGATTTCGAGCAAGCTGTATTCAAGCCCCTGAATTCAATTGATTCTTCAGCATTTGAGAATGGAATTGCGTCAGCTTTGTTCCGAATGAAAGGACCAAAGAGACAAAGAGTTCTTCATCGCATCCTTACTGACAAACATGATGCTGGAATCAAGGCTGGGTTAGCAAGCGAATCTCTGCTTTCACCACTGATAGATGTCGAACATGGAAGCGACGGAAATCGTATCAAATTGATTCAAACGATCATCGGGCAACATAACGGAAACGAATTCACGATTCACCAGAGTAGAAAGAAAGCTCAAGCACTGCTCGACCTCTTGAATCATGATACAAACAACACGGTAGCGATTGCAGCCGGCATTGCGTTGGTCGACTTCCTGAGGAGTCAGCAGCTTTCTAATACAGCTTGTGAAATCGGGGAAGCGGCGCTACAAGCAGCGTATAAGTGGTTCGATTGGCAACTGAGTTCCTCTTTCAAAAGAAGCAGCGTTTTGGAGCAAGTTCTTCGCGTTTTGGAAGCGATCAGCTTGAATCTTGTATCCATTGATTCCGCAAGCCCTCTCTTCTGCCGTATCATTGAGTGTTTGGGAGCTTTTTGTTCGAGTTCCATTGAGGTTGTTGCCCAACATAGCTCAGGAACTCTTCATCGTCTCCTTGGCACACGAGGGATTGACATGACAGGATTGCAAAAGATTCACGTTCTTCTTGTGTCAGATGAGACGATTCTACACATTTTTCGGCGTGAGGTTCTAGTTGGACGAAGTCTTGAGCGATGTGTTCGTCATCATTGCGTCCAGTCGTTGCTTCAAGGTTTTCTTGAAATGCTTCGTAGCTGCCAGAATGGAGAGAAGAGAAAAGTTTATACAACTGAAGCTACAGAGTACTGTTTGTGGGCTGCTACAACGTTTGCAAATGAACTAGAACTGTCGGATAGAACACTGCTTCAGAGTTGTATTTTGAGTTTGGGAAATCATTTTGCTTCCTCGCATCAGCAAATGCAACATTTTATCACCGGATTAGCATCAGCTGAAGGGATATTTTTCACGAAATACTTGTCGCCGTTAATTCAGAACTTGTGTGCTTCTCTAGAGAAGAAAAATGGAAGTAAAATTCCGGGTCTCAATGTTCTAATGGACGTGGCTGTGTTTGCCTCACAGCAGGCAAACGATACAACCGTAACGAATATCCTATCTATTGCAAAAACGTACATTGAGGGGTTCGAAGCAACACTAGAAGAAGTGCAGTGTGCTATTGCTACAACACTGTGCTTTTTGACGGACATGAACGTTGAAATCAGGCGCGAGGCTGTCAATCTATTGAAATCTGCTGGCAGTTTCCTTGCAAAAATCCAGAATAAGCTGACGCCCTGCCTCATTGATTTATGCGCATTTGTGACAGAAAATGAATCCGATGTATCGATTGGAGATGCAACTCTGCTCCCTTGGTGTTTGGCAAGTGTCATGTCTCAATCCAAGCAGAAAAAACAACTGCTGGAAGCGCTTTTGAGCTCATGTGCCAATGCAGGTTGCAGCCTCGCCAACAACGAATGCTTTGCGACAAGTGGATGTTTCACGGCAGCAGTCCTACTAACAGCTGCAGAGTTAGCTGGTGAAGAGATCTTTCCTTTAGAAAAGCGGTGGGAACTCGCCGGAAGCCCCATTCTTAAGCACATCCAATCACATCTTATGGAGCTTGAACAGATTCATACTGCGCTTGAACCACTAATATCAGCCACGATACGGATGCTGCTGGGCTTGAAGGTGATCAATTCCACGGTCGATGCTGGGCCCAAAACAACTAATGTTGCCAATTCAGGGGCAAGACTCTCCAGCGGTCGGAACCAGTCGGATCCGTTCAGAGAAAGCGACCGAGGAAGGTTCTTGATTCCGTACCCAAAGGGTATGGAAATCGCTATTCTCTCCATACTCAAGATTGATGCCAAGTCTAACACAGCAAGAATGCTACAAGAGAACCTAGTTGTTCAAGTTGTTCGCAGTCAGTCTTGGAAATCTGAAATTTTTGCGGTTCTATCAAGCACAACTCGAGAAAAGATCGCAATTGGAACCCTCTCTGGAATAATTGATGGTGTTGATGGATTCGATCAGGACATTTTCTTGAATCTCCCGTTGAGCACAAGTGAAGTTATGCGGATGATCGAGTCAGCTCATCGTACGCAAGTGGAGATTTCGTATTTGTCTGAGTATGCGGTTTTTAATAAAGAGAGATTGAATCGGGAGAGTCCAAACAACAATTTGATTCTAGCGCTATTTGGCAGCCTTGAAGCTTCTTTGTCAAGTGGGGATACTGCTGTTTCAACCGAGAATGACTATTCGTGTGAAGGCATCTTGTCTGCGGTACTGGAGTTATTGAAATCTTCTTCCACGGCGCAGCTCCGTACGGTAACAACCGAAGCTAAAGCACAGTCATGGGTTGCTTTCCTTCTACACATTCTGGTCAGAAACGTTGCCCAGGAAACCTTCCAGTCTCCACGGGTACACAAGACATTTATCGCATTGTTGGACGCATTATGTCCCTCATTTCCTTCGGTTGTAGTCAAGCAATTGATACCAGCCATGAACGCGACAATTGCTGAATCAATTGACTCGAACGCTCCTGGTTTTCTGATCGATTGTTTGGTCATGATTGTGCCTCAATTTTTAAGACATGCTGCACTAGCAGGTTTGGAGCCTATTGACCTGTTCAAAGCATTTGTTTCCCATTCAATAAAAATTGCAAATGGTAAAAAAAGGACTATGCTTTACCAGGGATTCCTGAAAGCGCTATCCAGAATGTCAGTGGTTGGGCTCAGTGATCCTCTACCTGGAGCTTTTGTGTCGACATGTCTAGCCATGGAGCTTCACTTCGAGGGCAAAGAGACGATCCCACCGATGTCGGCGCCATTATGTGATTTGGCTTCCATGATTCTGAATGACTCGCACATTGCCATAAAAACTTCTTCGACAATTGCGATGCTCGCATATGGGAAAGAAATCATTGGCAAGCTCTTACATGGAAAGGAAACAAACAAAACAGAGGCAACTGTAAAGGTTGAGGATTTGATCTTTATTTCTGTCAATGGCACGATCGAAACTTGTGAACGCAATGATTTGATCGGAGATCCAAAAAGTCTTATGCTATGCAATCTACTGCTCCAATCGGTTTGCAAGAACACACAAACCACATCTTTCCAAGCTTTCTTGCATGACCTTGACAGTTCCGATTCAAAGAAACTCCTTCCCTTCTGGCAGGACTTGATTATGGTGCAAGCAGCTGGCAGGAATGTTGTGTTCGACTCTGAACAGGGCGGGAGCCAGAAGTTTTGGAAGATCTTGCTCAAGACGACAGATGAGATTCTTTGCAACCTGCATTCTTTCATCCCTGTTCACATTTTTCTTGCATTTGCTACATCTGTTATTGAGAATGGCGAATCAGATGAGCTTCGTTCCATTGCTGTTCATTCAATAGGAGACCGGGCCATTTTGTTCCATCCTCATGATGCAGAAGCTACACTTTTTTGTGAAACCCTGCCTTTTCTGACGGAAATGCTTTGCTGTGATGGTGTATCAGTATTCCAACAATCACTTCTGGTCGTCATCGAAACTGTTGCACGAAAGCTTTGTCTTGGGTTTGATTTGCGAAAAAGCTCGTCTCTTGAAGAGGAACTGGTAACAGTCATCAACAAATCCGCCCGATTGATTAAACATGAACTTTCCTGTGCTGAAGCAAATTATGAGAGAATTGCTCCTCTGTCGCGTGAAACAATATGTATTGCATCCTTGTGTGCCTCAACGTGCATCCGCATTTGTGGCCCTCGTGCTCTAAAGACCCTGCCTATACTAATGAAAGCATATACAGATACCCTATGCATGATTAATGGGTACTTGAGTAACGAAGGCGTTCAGCAAAGAAAGAAGAAAGAAGCCAAACTGATGCAAGCGTCATCAACGCACTCCATCATTGCCGTTGTAGAAACACTACCGCAGTTTCTGGCCCCATTCCTGAAAGATATATTTGATCCGCTAGCTCTACCTTCAAAAGCCTTCAGAGAGCAAGATGACGGCCTAGAAATTGTCGATAAACTCAATACAACGCTTGTGTCCCACACTCCAACACGTCTACTTCTCCCTGCACTTCTGGAAGCAATTGAATCAAATCATTTGGATGTCACTTCCTTGCTCCCGGTGGTGTCTCTTTTGAACCGTACAATTTCCAAATCGAGTCGACAAGATGTTGTATGTCATGCAACTAGATTGCTTGAAGTGGTGACTTCAACACTGGACTATCCTGTGCAGTCCGATATGCAGTCACAAGTACTGCATGCTGCACATGATCTTTTCCTGGGTTTTGTATTAAAGTTGTCAGAATTTCAGTTACGGTCTCTTTACCTCAAGTTGCGGGAATGGAAAGGTGATCTTGATATTGGAAGAGCGGTTGGGTCAGCAAGGAGACAGGCAGCATTCTGGAGCTTGTCTGCTGCACTTGCCAAACATTTACACACCATTTATCTTCCATGTTTGAGTCTCATCTTTACAGATCTAATCAGTGAACTGGTGAGTGAATTTGTTTGCTCTAATGTCTGATTGATTCACTTTTTCTGACCTCCCCCGTTGTTTCTCAGGAATATGAGGCAATGGTTCTCTGTGACCGTTTGCATGCACCGGGCGCAAGCGAGGGAAAGAGACTGAGACTTGATCAAAAGAAAACTCAAAACCTGTCTCTTTATGACACAACGCCTGTTGAAAATATTCTTTTATGCTTACAGCAGTCGCTTCGATCTGATGCTCATGATGGAGGACGTTGGATTCGAGAGGGCAATTCCCAGAAGTTCGAAAGGCTACTTGATCCACTAAGCAAGCTACTGCAATCCGCGTGTCCACCGAAAGCCTCTTCCATATCAACTTATGAAAAAGTTGTCCAAGGGACAAATCCCCAGTCGGGTAGCGTCATTGCTTGCATTGTTTCTTTGGCACTAGCAGCTGGTGATGAGCAGCTTTGGAAACCGCTAAATCACCATGTTCTTCAAGCGGCTTCAAGTGCTACTCGAGTAGAGGTCAGAAGAGCTGGAGTGAAATGTCTTGCTTCGTTGATCCAGACGATTGGGGAAGAGTACATGATCTTTATCCCTGAATGCTTGCCTGTACTGTCAGAGCTTCTCGAAGATACTGACCCAAGTATTACCAGTCTTGCCCAAGATTGCATCACTCTAAGCGAGGAATTTCTTGGAGAGAATTTGCAGGATAGGCTTTAAAAATACAAATCTCAGGAAAAAGTACTCCATGGCCAAAAATTTACACCTGCCGTTCTAGTTCGTTTTTAACAACAAAATTGATGTCATTTTATAGTATGGAAAAAAAATTCTTGTGATTCGTTTTGTGTCCTTACCCTTCTTCTCCTCCTCTTTGGCATAGCCCTTGAATATCTTGGACACGATAGGCTCCTCTTCCATCTCAGCGTCGCTCACGAAACTGGTTAGGACTAATCCGATTGCTTCTTAGCAAAGTATTTTCAATTGCAAAACATCTCTTGCATCGTTCCTTTGCTGTGAGGAGTCCTTACAAAGCACGCACTTACAAGTGAATCCCCGCATGAATAACGAATTTTTGCATTTGTTCTTGTTTCTCATTGAGTTGTTTCAATGACAGTACGGTTGAACCTGTTTTCTATCCACCCCTACAAACTTCACCTCTCCCTATTTCATCTTTGGTTTATATCCCTGTCCTCTCCTAGATCCAAGTTTGTCAAGCCCGTTTCTGCAATCGCAGTTTCCAATATCCGAACGCCGACCATATCAGTTCCCCGCCGCTTCAGCGCCACATGGAAGACTCCTTTCCCTTCTCAAACTATCACGTCGGATCATAGAATAATTGGAGGACAACAGAGAACTGTATCTGCTTCTGCAATGAGCATGGCAGCTGACATTGTCGATAGTATTCCAGGAGCTGAAAGCTTTGGCTCTTCGATCAAGCAAGCAACAATCCCTCTTGGTAATCGGGTCGAACTAGCCGAGCTCTTCTCCTTCCCGAATCATTCATCACATCAACGATCTCCTGCCACCAATAGCAATGACAGTAGTCATGCCCAAGAAAGCGTGGACGCAAAGGAACAGCACAACACTGAAATGTCACTGGAACAAACCATCCAGCATTACTTGACCTCTTCCATTCTTCGTGATGGTTATTCCGAATCCTCAATTCACATTGCCAAATCCAAACCAAAAATTGGTATCGATATGAGCAACAAGCACGATTACAGCAACAACAACGACGACCAATTATACGCATCCATATCTGGAAACGCTGCCGTGTCATATTCCCAAGCACTCCCTCAATTCCTGAAAATTGGTAAACTAGGACTGCAAGCTTGTCAACAAGCCCAAGCGGATGGTCTGTGGAGGGAAAACTGGCGATTCTTCTTGCCCTTGGGATTGCCCCTGACTCGGCACTGGACGGTAGAACTCTTGCATTTTCCACCCAGTTACACCTTGGAAGAGGACCAAGATTATTTGGCTTCACGATCGACTCAGCGTTGGAAGCAGCTGTTGACCGTCAACAACAGTGATGAAAATAAACAAACAACAAAGACTGTGCAGCCCGATTTGGTGTCATTGAGTCCGAAAGACGATGACCAAAAAGGAGATGAACCAACCGATCGATTCCAGGCGATCATCGACATTGTCCCGATCGCGGCGCCATCATCAGATGGCAAGAATATGAAGGATGTGTACACATATTTCCAGGACTACATTAGTGCAAGTTTAGCGTTTTGGGCCTCCAACACCACAACTACTGGTGGACAAGAAGATTCGACACAAAAAGCCAAGCCGATCATTGCATTTGGCTGGCCAGTAAAGTGTTGGGTGGAAGCTAATCAAGCACAGCATCATTGCAAAAATGTTTACCCAACGTCAACGACCCTCAAGAACAATGAGGAGGAAAACGGCAGCGACACTTTATCCTTGGAAGTCCTCAGCCTTACTCGCATACCCATTGAGACTACTGACAACAACCATGCTTCGTCCACGCAAGTGCTAATTGCCAATCATCCGAGCTATTTGTACAATGCTGGAAAACGAATGACATCCAATACAATAAGATCTTTGGGAGAAGACGAGTGTACTCTTCTTGAGAAAATCATGATTCAAGATCTCATTGCCGCTAGGTGGCAAGTAAGGATGGGATTGGAGCCGAGCCAAGATCCAGATAGAATTCTACAGGAATGCTGTGAATTTTGGAGAGATGCGTCTAGCTTGGAAGAGATTCATGCGCTGATCAACGCACAGGCATTCATTTTGCAATAGCTATAACTCCTCTGAGATCCATCATGATTCTCTTGGATGTGTAGGTTGCATTTGACTTGGACCGTGAGAATAGGGTAGCTTCGATCTTTTCTCCCAGTTCATGCCAACTAGCAGATTATTGATATTTACCATTGAGCTGTAATAAACACTGGAAGAAATATCTTCAACATGATGATATCGGAAAGGTGGGAAACGCCAAACCAGCGCCAATTTCCATATATTCCGGACCAACCAAAACCCAGACCAGTATACATCTCCCGTGATCGATAATTCGATAGATCATACACGTCAACCTTAAACCCATGAGTGAGCTGCGATACCCGCTTTGCGAAGCTTTGTGAAGAGGTCCAGTGAATGCTGCAGCGTTCCTCGTGCGGTGATCCGCCAAAATTTCAGCATATGTTTCATTCGGACATGATGCTCAAAATAAAACTGATCCACTATTCTGACGTTCTTCTCTTCAACAAGTTGGTCTACAAGAGGTATTTCAACCGATGCGGTGTCAATGTCAAGTTTCACAACGACCAAGTCATCCTCGGTGTACTGCGACAAGACGGCATTCCAAGGATTCTGATTGCTCGTTTCATTCACCTCTACAGGAACATTGAACCAATGGAAAGAAGGCAAGATTTTCTTCGGCACCTTTTGGTAGACTTGGTCTGGGGGAATCACCGTGGCTTCAAATGCATAGTAGTGATCAAACTTGATTCCAAATTTCTGATACAATTCGAGCAACTGCAATGATGGGTTCTCTTCTGGATGTATATCGAGAGATGCACCGAGATCAATGAATACCGTTTTCGAAGAAGTGCTGAGTTGTCTGCACATTGCACCGAAATCGTGAATCAAGTAGTCCAACTTCATGACATACTTTGACTTGTAAACATCGTCAACAGCTTCACAAAACCGCGGGTGACGAAGAGGTGGTAGCAATGGTTCCACGAACCCCTCCCTCGTCTTTGACAAAACAGTATCCACTTGAAAGGAACCCTTCAAAAGATCGTCCATGGATTGGCATATGCTGTGTCGCTTTTCCCGGGGAACCAATCGAACGTCGCCAAGATTGACATCATACGTCTTTACTGCTTCGGTGTAGTCGTCCAACGTTTTCAAGTAGTCGTGATATTCTTGATAAAAGTCAGACCGACTTTTATTGTGGAACAAGTCGCATTCGTCAGCCCGCAATTGATCATACTGTAACTCGGACTGCGAGCGCTCCATGATTCTGTTCTCCAACCGAGAAGGTAGGTATATTGAATTCTGTTGTTGTTTGGAAGAAGCCGACGTTTGGTCCGCCACTACTACCTCACCATTTGCCTCCGACAGTTGACGATGAAAGTTCGATAGGAAATCAGAGTTTCGATCAAATATGTTGAGTGCAATCATCAGAATGAGCGCTACATTCTTGACCGTATCAGCAGTTGTTCGATCTGCTACACAAAACGACGAAGGACAGATGAGACGAGGTGGTGCGGCATCAATTGGTGTATGCGGGTGAAATATCTTACCCTTTTGGCTGCTTCTCTTGCGAGTTCTAATCATTGTGAATGTCCTAAAGTCAGATTATGGTAATGTTACGACACTCCCATGCCATTGTTGTTGAAAAGTGTCTGCTTCTCCATCAAAACAATAAAATCCCGCCTGCCGGTATTTTCAAAACTCGTCCGATCCATCGGACTCAAACTTATTGCAATCATCGTCAAAATCAGTACAATGCACATCATTTACATCCAGAGGATAAAATGATTCGAGCTTCCAAGAGAAACAAACTCAAAGGTAAGAGTGGCTTAGGATATCAGAGGACACAATTATCCTTTCATTTCGTAAAATCTCATGTCTAATATTGCCTCCCTTGAACAGAACGATTGGAAACCTTCAAGACCTTTGCACTCCTTTTCATGATTGCAATCAACATCTTCGAACAGCACTCTGCATTTGAATCAAACTTTCAACGAGAATTGGCGGAATCAAGTAATGACGTCGTAGTAGATCACTTATTGACATCGTCTCCAAAGGCAATAAAACAGGAATACGCATCCTATGTTCCATCTCATTTGGAAACGAGAATCATGGCAAGCTCTCGTTCCGAGTTGCAATACGATCGTATGAGGGCTGATGAGTGCAGCTTATTTTTCAATACGAGTCAATCTGGTATCTCTCCTGAATATCACGAGTACGTGGCCATGATGGACAAGTATATCAAAGCGGTGAAGAACTTTGACGCCAAAGTGGATGACCTCCGACTGATCCCAACCGAAAAGCGACAAAAGATATGCCAGTCCATGGATAATATTCTGAAGGGTGCCTTTCCAGCAGAGAATAGTTTATCTAGGACCAGGGGAGGTTTTATAGAGCCATTGCTTCCACCCCTCCGACATCCGCGATTCTGTGAAGATGGTCATTTGGGATGGGACTCGGTATATCTGTTGAACATTGATTATCTTGTTCATGATTTTGGTTTGATGTGCAACCAGCTCAACAGCACTTCGAAAACAGTCTTTGTTGATTTGGGCGCTTCACTCGACTATCATCCAGAAAACAATCCAGCGCTACAACTTGTCGATTTGTACCAAAAGTTTGGAATCAAATTCGACCATTACTATGCATTTGAAGCCACTGTGATTCCCCCAGACCAGGTGTTTCAAAAGGTTCCGAGGGACATTTTGCCTTCTTATCATTGGTTCAACGTTCCTGTAGAAGTACTTGAAACAAGCAAACAGAATCCATGGGCATCAATTCTATCCAAATACAATGAAGATGATTTGGTGGTTGTCAAGCTTGACATTGACACCCCAGCAGCTGAGATTCCTCTCGTTGGTCAACTACTGGAAGAAAAGAACTCGAGAATAGTTGACCAGTTTTATTTCGAGCACCACGTCCGAATGAAGAACATGCTGCGCTTTTGGAAGACTGGTGCAACCAAAACGCTACAACATTCGATGGACCTCTTTACACAGCTTCGTCAAACGGGTATTGCTGCACATTCCTGGATATGAAACTATGATCACACTATCCCTGCGGATGACATGATGACAATCCCACGAGCGCGAAACAACTACAACTGCTGCTTGCCTGAGAAAACGAGCCGTGCTGCCCTGTTGGTTGAAAATCAAACTGATAATGGAAGGACTAGACATTGATTCTACAGTAGTTGTAGGAACCTCGAGAAAGAAGAAAGAGAGCCCCACTAGACAATTGTCATCTTGGTCATCAGGCTTTACCGTCACCAAAATAAAGGGAAAATTTCAAGCGGCGGAGATGGAGCTGATCCGAGGTCAATGGATTGCGGATGACGGGCTAGGTCCAGAGTGTGTTTCAGCCGTTTGGATGGCTTTCTTCTGGTACCATGTGTTGCCCTCGTACGTGACTATAGGATGACAAAAAATCTTTTGGGGCGTTCGAGTCTTCAGGATAGTGGAAAGGACCGGTCTATCTAGTGTCCTATACCGGTAGACTATAGAGTTGTCTGAATAGCTGCAGAGGATGCAAGCGCATGAAACTGTAACCCACTCCAATGATGAAACGTATGGAGTCAGACAAACTTGTAATTTTGCAGTTTCAATAAATGCCGCATCTTTGTTTTCAAAGTCTCTCCCTCAAAATTGAAATACCTTTCGACCGTAGCATTGCCATCTTTGAGGATTGGATGGCTCATTGTCTTGTGATAAGCCTCGGGATGATGCTCCAAATGATCGACCCGCTCCAGTGCATCGGTTGGGTTGGTGACATTGTAATAGATGAATGAATCCGGATGAAATATATCAAACACCATAGTAGACCCGTAATAAATGGGGATGCATCCACCCAAAAAGGCCATTAGGATCTTTTCCGTAACGTAGGGTTGTTCGTAGACATGTTCCATGACGAGACAGAATCGAAACCCCGAGTAGAACTCGACGTTGGCGTGCCAATTGGAGAGGGATATACCATTTTGGACAAAGGTGCGATTGTTGTTCGGCTCACTGCCACCGTGGCACTTGCCACCATGAAATGCCGGCCCAATGGTGGACAATGCTAGGTAGGCTTCGTCTCGGAACTTGACGCAATTTGTTGCTGCATAAATGAGAAACTGCTTTTCTTTCTTGCCTTGAGGACGATTGGAAGCTTCTACCAATAGAGCATGGGGGTCCATCTTGTTTTGTTGTCGTTGCAGTTGTTGTTGTTGCAGTTGTGGGCGAAATATACCCCACCATGTCATTTGCAAGTACGTGAGCGTCATGACCCGGTCCGTGTTGTTGTTTTCGGTGGCAGGACCAATCAAGAATTTTCTTCCTCCCTTCATCCGCAGTGGCAAATAGTTTGATATGCTCTCTCCACTAGTGTAAATAATATTCCCCTTAAAGTCGTCTATCAGCCATTTGAAGACAATTCCATTGCAGGTTTCGGTCAGTGGCAAAAGAAAGAAATCCCAGGGATGATTCCGATGTTGGTGCTCTTGCTTCCACGCCTGCCGTTGGCGGCCATTTGCAAATCTCGTTTCGACAAATTCGTATTCTTCCAAGACGGCCGAAAGAATCAATCTGGCTTCGCCAAAGGCATTCCCATTGTTGCCCGTACAGTAAAAGATGGAAGCTGGAGTGTCGGATTTCTGGATCGTCACCATTTGTCCCTTGAGATGTTCCTCTGAATCTGTTGCATCATCCAGGGAATCATCCTCGTCGTTGTCTACATGGCTACGTTCGTCGGCATTTGTGCTGTTGTGAATGGCAGCCGTAATGGTGGAGGATACGTATTGAAGAATGTCGGCCTTGAGATAGGAAGTAAGAGGAGATGACGGGCTTGGTATCCGCCGATGGAAGAAATCAAAGAGCAAAAGGAGAAAGAGACCTTGTTTCCAAGGGAATGTAGGGCGTTTTCTCCCACCCGAAACACGCACAGCCATTATTGTATCAGTAAAAGTAATATTTGCACCGTCATTGTTTTTTTGGCGTTTGCTCTGTTTTTATTTCCATGCCATTTTCATCGTTCGAGTGGAACGCGACGGACCGGTTGACGTCTGGCATACGTACGCAAAATGAAACTCAGAAACACAAAACTTCAACCTCCCAAAACTTCATCCCAAGAAATACCACGACGTCCTTCACCAATACACCATAAAAATAAACCGCTTTTCCTATAGTCGTCACCTCTATAGTCCTATTGATAACTTCTTATCATGACGAATAGTAAGAGGCAGTATGGAAGCCGCAATCAATCGACAAAGTACAAGAAACAGAAATCTTCACATTGTCAACTGATCTCAGATTGCGATGTCTTTAGAGCGTCCATGGATACAAAACAGTGCTGTAATTGCCACGATCACATCTATTGTTCGTTGGAAACCGATTGTACCACATGTCACAACAATTATTGAAATTATTGTGTCGAATGCTTTGCAGATCTGATATCATCTCCAGAACGACGAATGTTTTTTCAGCTGTCAGTCTGATTAAAGCATGGTCGAAGGGCATGGCAAGCAAAACAACATCTGACATATTCATACTGTATGACGACTATGATGAAAAGCTCGATCCAATTCGAAGCTTCAACTCCAAGTATGGCGCTGACGAGGAGGAGGATGGTGAAAGAATTAATTTCACTCGCGTTAGAATTTCTGAACAATAAAGTGTCGAATCAGTCGAATGAATCCTATCGGAACCTATCGGAACCCTCAAAGAAATGAATAAAATGAGAAACCACGAGTCGCAAAGATCCTTCTCGTTCATGAGTCATCATCATCATCATCATCATCATCATCATCATCGTAACAATACAGTAGCTCCTCATAGCACGACACTTCACCACAATATTAAACCAATAGATTACTTGGTCGCTTGCTTGCTTGATTGATCGATCGATTCTATCCACAATGTCAGCTCCCAACACTACCCCTACAAATCCTTTGGTCACAGCGTTGCTCACAGACCTCTATCAAATCACCATGACCTACGCTCATTGGAGAATTGGGAAGCATGAAGAACCCGCGGTCTTTGAGCTCTTTTTTCGAAAGAACCCCTTTCAAGGTAAGTGTATTTATTCTGATGATCTGGCATCCATTGTTGTTCGACCAAAATCATACTGGTTTTTGATTCATTCCCATTTGTACTAATGCCACCCGTCCATTATTGCCTACCACTCCCCCACTCCCTCATTCACTCATTCACTAGGCGCCTTTACCATTTTTTGCGGATTGGACGAATGCTTGAAGTACATCCAGTCCTTTTCTTTTTCGGATGAGGACATTGAATATTTGAAATCAACACCTGCTCTTTGCAATTGCGAGGATGGCTATTTCGAGTATCTTAGAACCTTATCGACAACACAAACTCCAACCTTCCAAGTCCGAGCTCTCAAGGAAGGAACCATCGTATTTCCAAAGATCCCCATGGTCATCATTGAAGCCCCTCTTGGTTTGGGTCAATTGCTGGAAACGACATTATTGAATTTGGTCAATTTTCCTTCGCTCGTGGCCACCAATGCGGCTCGGATGGTCTTGGCCGCCAAACCATTTCCCTGCATTGAATTTGGGTTGCGACGAGCCCAAGGCCCGGATGGAGCCTGTACGGCCAGCAAGTATGCATATGCGGCTGGATTTTCCGCCACGAGTAATGTGCACGCAGGAAAGCTATTTGGAATCCCCATTTCGGGAACCCATGCGCATGCCTATGTCCAAGCATTTTCCTCTTTGGACGACGTCCAAGATTTGCAGTTGCTAAACAAAAAGACACAAGCGACGGAGGCCTTCTTGCCAAAAGTGTTGGGCTATCGCAAGGATGGAACGAATGACGGAGAACTCGCTGCTTTTGTGGCATATGCCTGTGCCTTCCCGGATACTTGTTTGTGTTTGGTCGATACTTATGACACCTTACAAAGTGGACTTCCCAACTTTATTGCCACGGCCAAGGCCTTGGATGATTTTGGATATCAACCCAAAGGAATTCGACTGGATTCGGGCGATTTGAGTGCTCTCAGTTTGAAATGCAAGTCTGTCTTTGAAGAAGTAGAGGGGTCAACTAGTCGTCAAGTCTTTGGAAACTTGACAATCGTCGCAAGCAATGATATCAATGAAGAAACCTTATATCAATTGGCTGAACGTGGACATGGTATCACAGCCTTTGGCATTGGAACCAATCTCGTCACTTGTCAAGCCCAGCCCGCGTTGGGGTGTGTATACAAACTGGTAGAATGGAAGGGAGAACCAAGAATAAAGCTATCGAACGACCTGCCCAAGATCACGATACCTTCGCGAAAGAATGTCTATCGATTATTTGGCAAAGAAGGCACTCCGTTGGTGGACTACATGGCAATGCAAGATGAATCTCCTCCTAAACCTGGTGATCGCATCACATGTCGCCATCCCTTCAAGTCTCAAAAGAGACTGATTTGCACACCCACCTCTGTTGTCACCTTGCATTCTGTCGTTTTTGACAATGGTGCAAAGGCTGCTCTAGCCGAATCATCAAATTTGTCAGAGACCCGTTCCTATGTGCAGACTGAATTGGACAAATTTCCGGACGCCATCAAGCGATATGAAGACCCGGAGGAATATCCCATGATGGTTTCAATCACCTTGTACAAGTTCCTTCACGATCTATGGGAACGAAATGCACCCATCAAGGAAGTAGCGTAATTGGGATGTTGCACGGGATAGTTTCGAGAACGGCGATTCTTGCCACTGTAAAAGAATACCATTATTGTACCTGGTTCCGTCCCAAGTACCAACAGAGTAAACTAAAATTGAAAATGGAATTTGTGTTGGAAATAAGTGTATTGAAGTAAATATAATATCAAAATGGAGATTCTATTTGGACCGGACGCCTAATGGCTCAGCCCAAACTTACTACATGCAGGCGATCAAATCGAAAACACAGCAATCCAAATCATCTGACGATGTCAACAACGGCTCCTAACAAATACGGGACATGCATACTACCTCAAACCATTCGAGACACACAACAATCAAACAGAGATGAAATAGTCTGAATTGCAAGCAATTGGAGCAGCAAATGGAAGAATAATGGAAGTGCATGTGCAATCAATTTGCTGGTGTTTCACACTATACACCACATTGATCCAGATTGTAGTCAGCTCGCTTGGAAACGTCTCACCAGATCACAATTGACTGTATCTTTGCAATTTATCTGCCATCTTGACAAGCACTCGTTTCAATCCCTGAAGACAGTACTCAGTGCAAAATAACAATTGTTTTGGCCTGTCAATCCTCTAACCCGCGCTTGCAGCACTGAAAAAAACGATTGAATCATTGGATGATTGCTTCAATATCCGTTCAGACAACACACTATACACCACATTGATCCAAACTGTAGTCAGCTCGCTTGGAAACGTCTCACCAGATCACAATTGACTGTATCTTTGCAATTTGTTTCACACCGGGTGGCTGGCAAAGTTCAATAGAGAGAACACTTGGTTGCACCGTGTCAAAGATGAACCAGTAAACATCCGTTCTTGTCCCCCAGGTATTGGCGTTGGAAAGGTGACAGGGCCATTTCTTGACGATAGATGGCTCTTTCTCCACGCGCATAGGAATGAGCCTGCCATCCGCAGTCATATTTGAACCATTCAATTTCACATTGATGCCAGTCGATTCGAGTAAGGGCCCTTTGAATCGAAAGGCCAAAAGCATAACTCGGACATCTTCAATTGGCGTAAATGGTGCTTCAACGGAAAATGAATTCGCTGCGTCCCCACCGCAAAAGCCCAACGGTGTGCATCGTTGTCGATCTTGCCGAACTAGACGTTTTCTTCCAAAATTCTCAATCTGCTTGACCCCTGAACCAGACACCAGCTGTCGTGGAGTAAGCGGATTTAGCGCTGGAAGATCTAGTGTCCATGCACCTGCTGGAGATTTCCAACCTGATGCTGAGTCGGTTATCACTTGCTTCAAATCTCGTTTTGCCACTGTCTCGACTCCACAACTCCATTCGTATTCGGTATCAGCTAGATACATCGTCGGCTTTTCGGGAATCAAGCTTCCTCTTGGACTCAAGAAGGCTAAGAGTAAAAACGCAGTAGCTAGATGCCCCAGATCGCTGGCGTGATGAACATCGTTTAGGAAGGGGCATTCACTAAAATTCCAGCATGATGATAGCCCCAGCTCGTCAACATATGTCGCCATGTTGATATGCCCGGCAACGAAATCAAATTGTCTTGCAATGTCACCATGTGACTGGAATGCTCGACCTACAATTGCCATCGTTGTCTTATCGTGATGATATGGCGTGTCCCAGTAGTATATCAGAATGACAAGCGGCGGCTGCTTCATCTTACCAACCTCATGAATCCAAGGAAGAAAGTTGAGCTTTGCATTTTGCATGATCAAATCTTCCTCCAGTTCAGCCGCATCGTTTATAGAGAATTCCCATAGTATTAAGTCGGCATCGGGAGGAATGAAGCTGTCAAAAAGTACCGCACTATGCAGCGAATTCCGGGTACCATGCCCTTGGCCTATCACCTGCACTGTTTGGTTCCAACCATCAGCTCTTATATTTGAAAGAAGATCATTCACGTAGTTACCAAGCCTTGCATAGTACCGCTCGTTCCTATACATTGGTGTTGATCCACCACCAGCAGTTGTCGAACCGCCGTTAGCAACAACTTTGAAGGTTCTGTCTTCTTCCCGTGCTTGAATTAATTTGGCAATCAATCTAGAATGGGTCTCTTCATTATAAATTGATATCGAGTTTTGGTGTCGCGGATACGGAAATTCTTCAAACATGAGATTCAGATTGTCGACTCCTGTCGATGTATTAGAGCTCAGAGCATTGGTTAAAGTGCGTAGTCGGCTCTCCATCTCATTCCCTGCAACTTTTTCGCTTTTCATCGAGTGATCATCAGTCGGAATATGCTGGGAGGTCCAGAGGTCCTCCCACTTGTTTAGGTAGGACATGGGCGTCTCCTTCATTGGCCTTGTCGTACCAGGAAAACTTCTCAGACGCGTGTAGGAACGACTGTATTCTTTGGATTTGCTTGCTTTATCAGACTGGTTACCAATATAATTACTTCCATTGGTATTCATTTTTGTTGGAAAAACAAAGTGTTCCATGGATATCCAACACGCCGCGTTCAAAGTAGCAAATGCAATTAGAGCCATGGCACAATCCCTTCGTGTACGAATTGTCTGCCACACGATAGCAAGAGATCGAAACTCATCAGAGCTAAGACTCTGGATGGAATCTGACATGGTAAAAAGGGGTAAGGATGCAGAAAAATGTTCTGAAGTGATTCTTGAAAAACCGTTTGCCTACAGTACAGTACCAGGTTAGGAGTCGTACATCTCGTTTCATAATTGGTGGCTAGATATTGTCCTAGCCCACGCAGGCTTTCCGGGTTCCGATCCGGGTGAGACACAGATTCGGGCCTCCAAGAGTAGAACTCGAAGAGTTCCAACTCGAAGAGTCCACGAACTTGAAGTCTCCGCAAGATATAAATCCTGCGTCCTTTTCTTTCCCCTGGGCGGGTGGGCGGGAGTTAAAAA